GCAGCACTCAAGAAAAAATCTATCTCATTTCCTGGTTTAACACTTTTTCCATTTGATAATCATGCATCTTTTTGCTACCAGCCAAGCCAATCCAGCATTGTCTCCATTACGAACCCGTATAACAGGGTAAGTATTAAGTACTCTGACACAACACAAAGTGGAAACGTTTCCAACATAGATTACCAAGAATCATCAGAGAACCATCACAGTTAGGAATAGGAAGGCATACCCTTTTTCTGGTAAGTGGCATTGCTTAAGATGTCATGATAATATCGATACATATACAAACACGGATATGGAGTGAGGGAATACATCTGCATTTCTCAAAATCCAAGGTGAGAATACGAATATCCCATCTAACACATCTTGTGTACATATTACATCTTTATAAAAACAAAAATATATGCATACAACACATTGATATATATAGGTAGGAAACATAATGCATAACATTGTATTTTATTTATATTATATTTTTTATGGTCATGTCATGTTATAAATTTTTAAGTACCTTAGTAATAGCTAGTATCAGTATCAGGGTCAACACAATATGACACTGGCACATTAACTATGCAGAAATGTCCTTGAACCATAAAGTAGTAGACATCCCTGGAGGATGTAACACAAACTCACTCCCAACAATCAACATAAGAAATGTAGATTCATTTCCAACATATCACATCCCAAGCAAAAGAAGAGCTAGGAAAATAGAGAACTCTTCCAATAAAAGAAAGTTTTGCACAAGAAACCAAGTCATCCAAAGTCCGAAGATATTTTGTTAGTGCCTATGAATATTAGAATATCTCATCTCTACTAAACTAGAAAGGTAGCATGTAGCCAAATCTAATTATTTTTGCATCTGGGCAAGGGGCTGGGGTCGTGGTGGTAGCATCCTCACACCCTGCTCATCACATGGGGGTTTTCATTCCTACTGACACCACCCCACTGATACGTTCAAAACAACTAACTCCTAAACTATTTGAAAAACGGGTAGGGGCCTGTCTTCCCCATTGAATTACCTCAAAAAAAACAAACAAACAAACAAACAAACACCAAAAATTATTTTTGCTTCATAACTGGTATAGCCAAACCTAAATATTTAAACCAACAGCCTCAAGGAATGTATGCTACAAACAGCTTCCAATAATCTGAAAGCTTATGTTGGTTTGAGTTCAAAAGATCAAAACTTAAAGTTCCACACTTCCACTATGACCATTTCAAGCCTTATCGGTTATTAGCAATTTATTTCCACAAAACACCACACGCTTTAATCGCACTTTCAACATTCCACACATATACAGGAATTACTCGCTCTAGGTATTATTTAACAGCAGTAATTCTATTTTCTCTTGAACAGGGTAGCCACTTATGTGCTCCTAAACTCAAGCTCTTTGCATGGTAATTGTCTAAGAAAAAGCTTTCTTTGATTTATTTGTTGCTTGCATCTCATTCACATGTCTAAGAAATCTTCACAATGTCTGTCCTTTCCTGCTGCTTTTTAACTCCACACAACCTCGCTAATGAGTAACTCACTTTACTTCTCACAAAGTAAAGTTTGACTTACCTTTGCATCTTCAAAATCTTGAATATGCCACGTGTCCCTTATGATCATCATATCCTAAGTCCCAGAAGCTCCCTGAAAACAAGAAACGACAATGGCCTTCCACAGACACAACAGAATAGTTGGCTCCCATGATTATCTAACTACCTCAGTTCTCATTGAGCCTACGAAACATAAACTCATCAACTTCTTTAGCTCCTAAATCACGCACTCACCTAGGAACTTAAATGGACCTGCATCTTAGTAGTTCACATGGCTTCATGGAAGGCAGTATACCGGTTATCATATGGTCAATGAATTGAACTTACATCACCAAGCCCTTATGGGTTCTCCATATACACTTGTGGAATTGATACCTGCATGTCCTTTGGTATTTGATTATTTGCTCAGCCAGCAGTACTTGTTTTTCATAAATGTAGATTTCAAGGTCCTATAGTCGCTTGATTTGCATGAATTATAACAGAAGGCGAACAAAACTTGCTGAAATTTTATCTATTTTACAAAGACGACAAATTTTGAATCTTAGACTCTCACCATAAGATTGTAACAGACACCCATCGGTAGAGGGGAACAAGGTTAGCATACTCCTGCCATTTTCCCACAATAATGCATGCAACTAGGAAAAACTGTAACAAAATTGTCTTGGCAAGTACTGATAATAAGTTGACCATTCCAACGATGCCAATCAAACCACTGTGGCTAGAGCACAGAGAGGCCATTCTACGTGACAATATAGATATCATGTGAATTGACTCTCATCATTCATGAAGGTGCTCAAGGAGAACATATTTTACACACAGAGTAGCCATGATACAACAAATCACTATTCTTAGACCAGTTCAAACAATGAGGCATTTAATAAACATATTCGTCAAAGAGAGGACATTGCAGCTTAAAGTCAACTGCTATGGAAATATCCTGTGGAAAAGATTTTGCATATACATAGCCATGATGTAACAAATATTCTTAGACCAGTTTAAACAATGTGGCATTTGAGCATTTCCATAAATATATTTCTTAAAGACCAAGTGACTGACAAGAAAAGTCTCTAGCAGAATAAAGTCGACCAACAACATAAAAAAGAATGCAATCTCATTCTTCCAAAGAAGTAAGATAATTGGAAAAAGATGTTAGCTATTTGATAGAATCCTAGCTTTAATTTTCTTTTCAAATCTTTCGAGCTATTTCCCTTGTAGAAGATGGAACACAGTACATAAAAAAGCAAGATTTTCTATTTCTTTTCAAGTATTATAAGGAAGAGGAGAAATGAAAATAGATTACTAACATACAAAATGAGATGGCCACCGACAAGAGTAAAGGGGAGCAAATGCAACTCATAAACGACAAAAATACCTTCGCTAAAGGCTCATAAATTCACAATAATCAAAGCATTTCAAATTGTGCCACAAGTGTGTATGCCCTACCCATCGACACGCGTCACCCATGTGCATTTAAATAAAGGTGTAATGAGAATCAAGAAGGCATTTTTCACCCCAAGGTTTCGGTACTGGCTAAGAAAACTTAAATTTTATTTCATATGTATTATTTAATTTTTTTGCTGAGTAATACTCGTACAATGGTTAGAGCAGATGTAAAATTACAACGAAAGAAACAAATCAGACTGCAAAGCTATTTCCATCTCAATCCAACAGTTTCATTACTTCATTAGCATACCGATGCACATCATGAATAGAACTCATAAAAAATATTTTCTTGTACATCACCATACGCAATGCTTAGAGAAAACATGCACATCCATGTATCCAGAGTGATCTCTCCAATAATCAAGACAATGGCTCGCCAAGGAAGAAGAGGGTATTTTAGTAAGGGAGGATCCTTATGATCTAAAAATTCTTTTCACCCACCTTCCATGTACTACTACTGTATAACATGACGTACACTTCATATTTACGCTTCACTGGTAAATAATATTTCAAAAATTAATAAATATGATCATATCAGTAACAACTGTCCCTAATTACAACAGGCGAATAACAGCTACAAGTAACAAGAATTGGTATTTTATGAACAGCCCAAGAATATTCATTTACACCACAAATGACCAATTAAATTGTCATTTTCTTTCATTTTTTTTTTTTTTGGGGGGCGGCGGGGTCATATTCCTGGGTATGTTCCCATGAATGTGTACCACTAGAGTTTCCACGTCAAGACTCTCTTATGCGCACCCCCTCAAAGGAATAAGCTTTGTTTTTGGGAGCTGTACAAATATAACTAGCTCACAAAGAACCTAGCAATTGAAGTCAGACTCAGTTAAATGGCAATAAGTCAGTCTCTAAATATACCTATGAAAGAATTAGTCTCCAAAGACCTAGAAAAGATGTCCTGTGATGGACCTATTTCGCATGGACTTGCACACTCACAGACAAAGTTTAAAACTGTGATGTATTTATTTTGCAGCCAAAAGTAAACCCAGTAACACTATAAACGTCCACCTTAGTGTTGTTCACCTTACTAATTAGAAACATCTCAAGAAAGCACTGATTGGGAATCCCTCAAGAAAGCACTCAACAAACAACAAATGAAAGAGACATATAATGCTAGACATCATCATCATCATAGCCTTTTCCCAATTAATTGGGGTCGCTAACATCTGACGCTAGACTCCTAAATTTTAATTAGAGCAAAGTAATTAGCTCCACTTAATACATCTCCACTTTTCAACATTCCCATACCCCTCCATGAAATGTCATTAGACAAATCTAATGTCATCCTTAACCCATAGTTAGAATAGTACCTTCCCAGAATGAGTCACACTATTCTTTGTAACTTGTGCATCACAGTGTTGTCAAGTCAACCACAAAATAAAAGCCATAACTTAAAATCAAAATAAAAGTCCACCCATCTGCAGATATGATAGCAACTTATTCAACCTCATTTTATTTGAGTTTTGCGTCATCCATCTCAATCAAACCAATGTAGAATCCAACCATGAGTAGAAAATGAGTCCCATGAGTAGAAAAGGTAGCACCCTCAAGACTTGATTTCTCATACAGTAAGAAATGACCAATGAGGTGATTTCGATCCAGATGAGACAGCACTGCCATCAAATGGCACATCCAAACAAAAAATTTCACCCTAATTCTAGAGATAGCTAGAGATCCCCAACTGGAACTTATAATTCAAATGATAAAAAGATTATAATATTTTTCACTAATTCTACAATTTAGATTTCCAATTTTATAATAACAATAAAAGAACACTCGCACATATTGTTATTTCCATTCTGATAAGTTATCAAAGAAAATAACCTTTGAATTACACAAAGATCAAACAAAAACAAGATTAACAAATGAAAAAAAAAAAGGTGGAAAAATGGAACAAATAGAACATACAAAATAAGAATAATGCAGGGGGAATACAATATAGCATGCATAGAACCAAAAAACCGAAGCATCAAGCTGAAGATCAATATACCCACCTTGCAAGGCGAGTGTAGAATAACTGCTTGGATAATTCGCTACATTTCTCCACAGTGGGGGGATTCTGAATGTACTGCTTGTTCTGCTCCAACAACTGCTTATAATAAACACACCCGTGCTTTGCAACAAACTGTGAGGCCGCAACAGCCTTTGATTGTAGTTGATGAAGTTTTGATGCCATGGGCTCCCTAAATTAGGTTCCAAAATTCCAAAAATGCACAATGCAAATATCCAATTATGAAAATATTCAAGCACAAGAAATCTCAAAGGAATACAAAATCATTCACAATTGATTGGAAGCAAGTAAATTGTTCATCATTTGTTCTGGTATTGTGAAATACAAAACCATTCAAACCACAAATAACACCTACTCCTTCAGATTTCACCAAAATTCATCTTCTTTACTAGTCCAGATCTCAAAGAGAAACTCAAATAATTCCAGGTTAATGTTTTCCCAACAAAAAAGACGAAAAAAAGGAGGCCCAGGCTTACAATTCCCAAAACTAGAACATACGAAAGCAAATTCTGAATCAGAAGAATGTATCATTTGATCTTAGAAATAATGTCGTCTGATTCCAAGAAAATGTATAAAACCCCAATATTCAACTCAGGAAACTCGCTTAAACCCTAGATTCAACCTCATTTAAACCCAAATTTTAATGGAGGGATCGGAAGATCCACAGAATTCAAATAATCCCAGATCACAATCAGGAGAATCGGTATCATTTTCAGGTCAAAAAATTAGGGCTTACCTTGTTCGGTGAGGAAGAAAAAGCTCTAAAACGCGACCAGAAGGGTTTGGCAAAATGGTGCTTCGACTTTATACTCTCAACAATGACGAAATCGCCCCAACCCCTAACGTGATTCATGGGTGGTAAAGGGCGGTCTGCGCCTGCCTTCGCGGCCCGGCTCTTACTAACCCGGGCTTGGGCCCGAACAGGGGCCCGGTCTGATCCACGAGTTGGAGCCCGGCATGGGCCACCAGAGTGGGCCCGGACTCGGCCCTTATGTCCCAAATTTTTGAGAATATTTGTATTTTAATTTTTTATATTTTGCATATATTAGATTAAGCTTAAATTTTGGTGGTTTATACTTCTCAATATTATGCACCTATTAAAAATCCAAAATTAATAATTTTAAATAAATAAAATGGCTAGAATACCTTTGAAATTTATAAATATTTTGTGGTTAATTTATTTTTATTTATTTTGTCTTTTTTTTTACATGGAGACAAAATTTTGAGCTTGATGTGATGCATGAAAAAATATCGAAATACTAAATGAGTACTTAAATAGCGGGACATGAGTGTAAGATATAAAATATTGAGGGTATTGTTTGAAGTTTCTATAAAACCTAAGAATTACGAAAACAAAATAAATCATCATCTCAAATCCTCGTCTGGAAAGCACTTTCTGCAACAAAAATATCCATGGTAGCTCTAAAATCAATTTCCAACACCGACAACAATACTTGAAACTCAAAAACTGCATAGATCCTGCAAATTTATAAACACTTATTTTTAGGGCAAATTGAATGATCTAGAAGATTTATTACACTATATGCTATTTTTAGAGCTTCAAATCCTTTTTTTTTTTTCACAACTATAGTGTTCAAGTCGAGATGAACTATGTAAAGGTTTTTCAATGCTTGAATTACAATTTTTTATAATTTATGAGGTGTGGATTTACTTATTTTGATAGGGTTTCAACCCTATCAAACCATTTTCTTTTAAACAATGGAAAAAGTTTATATAAGTACGAGGCTCTAAACAATCAAATTAGAGCGCACCTCAAAATTTTCATTAGAGAGATGTTGTTTTGATGCCCAAAATTCATCAAGATACATGAGCATGAGAAAAAAATGGATTCAAGCTTTAGAAATAGTGCATCTTGTTATGCAGTTTTTACCATCAATTTTCAAGATTTTCAAGTTTTCATCGATATGCTATATCTACACTATTTTTTAAGCTTTAAAGTTCATAATTAGATATAAAAATATATTTTAAGGCTATCACAAATATTTTCAATATTGAAACCACATTTCTTGACACTATTTAAAGATGCATTTTACTTTGATTGCTTAGATCTTCAGCTTTATACAAACCACACCCCAAATACAAACATATACATGTCACACAATATTACTTTTTAAGTGAACTTAAGAAATTCAAAATATTTTGAATATCTAACTTCATTCCCATAAATATACTTAATGGATGCTTCTCCTTTATTCAAAGAAGATTGAAGGGCAATAATTCATTGATTGTATTCTAATACCCTTGTCACGAGGAAATCCTAATAAATTTATTAGGTGCACGATGTATCGGTTATTAGGCTTATTGGTGATAGTGCATACTTCAAATTCATTACATCAATTTGCATAATTTGTGCTTGATTAAGAGACACGTGTCAATTAGAATAAAAACTTTAAAAAGCCACACACGCAAACACATGCATGAATGTGGTTTGTATATATGCAAAACGCAAGACATGTAGAATATCTTAACTCCGATACATTTTAAATATAAGATTAAATTTTAAATTTTATTTAATAGAAGGAGTTTGTTTTGGCATAAAAAAATAACAATCACTTTTAGCTATTGGATATAAAATCCTACAGTTTGCGTAAAATAATTCAAAAACCTATATTTTGAACTTTGTGCCAATCAATGACACGCCCCCAGCTACCTGATTTAAAAAATTGTCGATAATAATTTGTCACTTCTTTATACAAAAAATGAACCATTTCACATTGCACTCGTTTTGGTCATGATAGCTTATTTGCTTAAGTGGTCAACTCTTTCAAACCGGATGGACAACGAAGATCCTTAGTAGGTACATGGTTCTTATCTCCCAACCCAAAACTTCAATTGCTACCATTCAAACATCATTATATGCTCCCAATTACGGATTGTTACAATGAGCGGGCCCCCGTATTATAACATTGTTGTTCAAAACAAAAATTAAATTCCAAATCTAGGTATTGACCTTTTAATTTAAGGGATTGTATATTATTAGACTTTTTATTTTTGGTACAGGGAGGTCACAATCATTTTAACCTTTAAATATAAAATCCAAAGGCTGAAATTATGTCATAATATTTGAGATATTTTATTTTGGACTTTGTGTCCAAATAATGCCACAACTTCAACTACTCGATTTTAAATCTAATAGTAAATGATGATTGCAACCAAATGGTATATAATGTCTTAATTTAAGGGTAAAGTTTAACATACACCGTCATGTACCAAATACACAAGCAAAGCATCAACCGCTATGGCAAACTCTAGTCTTTTAATTGCATGGTGGAGATGGGATACATATGCCTAATCGACAGTACGGAAACATTATAAGTTTTATTTTTTAATGGGGTAAATGGGAAACATTTGAAGTTATCCAATAGTTGATGATGGTGCATATACTAAATCCCTTAGAAAATATATATACAGCGTATGTACCATGGTTTTAAAAAGGAAAAACTTTCTATAATTCCACTACAGAAGTACATTTCTCCCTATCCAACTAATTCCACTATAGAAGTCATATATTTCTCCCTATCGAGATCTAAATTGACGGTTGAAATATACCCAATCATCACGTGTCTACATTATTTTATTTCTAATTATTTTCTACAAAAATGGTTTGACACCAAATTACATTTTTTTTATACACCATTTTGAGATGTACCCACTCATCTCTTAAACTCGCACCTACATAATATATAAAAAAATTGTTATTGATAAAATGAAATGACCAAAAACATGTGTAAGAATTTTAGAGGTATTTTGGTTATTTTGTTTTATCAGAAATATTTATTTAATAATTGCTTTACGTGCGCTCCATTGAGATGATGACACATACCAAATGTCACATTCATTTGATTTGAAAAAAAAATACTCTGAGTCATCGGATCAAGATCACAATGGTTCGTGGCTCACTTGATTTAAATTAGACGGCTAGATGGGAGGAAAGTATATGATGGAAGGAAAGTATATTACTTCTATGCAGTAGGGGAGGTATAAAAATCTTTTCCCTTTAAAAAAGGGGTGCAGTTTCTTTAAAGGTCGAGCTTTACGAAAACAAAGTAAAGTCTCACATTGAATCCCTGTCATGAAAGCATTTTGGGCAACTTAAATCTCTATGATGGCTCTAAAATCAATTGTCAACACCAACTATGAAATTTGAAGCTAAAAACATGGTACAAATCTTGTGAATTTCTAAACACTTATTTTTTATATGAAATAAACTATCTACATAATCTGTTACAATATATATCATTTTACGGGTTTGAAATCCTTTCTTTTGTTTTTTTACAACAATAATGGTCAAGGTTGAGATTATCGATTTGAAGGTCTTCCAATGCTAGAACTACAATCTTCAATGAATTTTGAGACAAGGCCTTACTTATTTTGATAGGTTTGCGAGCTTATCGAAACATTTTTTCTTTTAAAAATATTGATTTGGATCAGAATTGGTTGATCCAAGTCAGAAGTTACGAGTGGGCAATCAAGTCATTGGGAGTCCTAGAATCACCCTCGTACAAAGCTGATTCGTTTTTCTGCATTGTTTCAAGAAAAATGTAACGTCAACGACTTTGATAATATACGGCATCGCAATAATATCAAATAGTCCATCAAATTATTCAACCACGAATTCATAATTTCATTCAACCACATGGCCTCATCATTTACAAATGAAAAACAAAAGAATGGAATAATTTTCATTTTTGTCCCTATTCGCGACATGGAAAGGACCTAGAACCACCAAATGTTTCATATATCCTAATTTTAGTCCCCATTACCCCTGGATAATTTGAATTACATATGGAACGATTTACCATTATTACAAAATAGTCACAATCACTCATAAAATGTCAATTTAGATGGCTTGAGATCTATAATAAAGTTTGAAAAATTTTCTTTTTTTAAAAATTAATGAAACAACATCGAATAGAAACCACTCAATCATGCCGTCGTGGTGTGTGGATCTTGCCATCGGCAGTTATAATTTGGCTATTCACTACCACCTTGTACAGATAAATAACTTTTGCATCAAGGGAGGGAAAGCATTGTTATGATCGACATCACTATAGTGGACCTCACATTTGGATCGTATCATGCACTCACTCCACTCATCAATTAATTATGCAGATACGAACTATTCTCCATGACAGCATAATCACCAATTGAGTACTTGAAAGAAAAAAAAAAACGAAACAAAAAAGAAGCACCTAGGTCTAGCAGTCCAGGAATTCAACACTTTGTGCGCAAAATCTTATCCATTTTTTTCCAAGCACATTCAAGATGTTATTCGCATTTTCTTTTTGGACGCGGTTACCAAGCAGCCAGCTGCATATTGTAGAAATGCGCGCTTGACAATAAATATATTTTCATCCAGAGAATATATAATCTTTAACATGGAGATCATGAATATGAAAAAAAAAAAAAAATTGAAAACTAAAAATATAATTATATTAAAACTATATTTTGACCATTAATTATAATTGTTTTTTGGGTGCAGAGGTAAGGTATATACCTTCAAATTTCATCATGGTATATAAATTTGATGTAAAATGTTGTTAGGATTATCTCAAAATCTATTTTTATATCTTACTATAAAATTTTAAATTTAAAAAATGGTTAAAATCAAATAGATCTTTAAACATATGAAAATCTTGAAAACGAATGGTGTATATAATATGTTGTAAAATGCACTATTTCTGAGACCTAAAATCTTTATATTTTTCATAATCATACATCTTGATGTCTAGATGATCAATCAAAGAGTTTTTCAACATTAAAACTACCTTTTCCAAAGGATTTTTGAGAGGTATCCGTAGTTCTACATTATAAAGTAGCATCCCTATATAAACTTTTTCCTTGTTTTTTTTTATATGGATGCGTTATACCTCTCGACCGCATATTGTAGAAATACAGTCCAGCCCTCCTGAAACAATTGTACTTTTCTTTTTGAGTTCGATTCTAGGTTGAGTAGTTCACGTTCCTCCTGTGAACATTTTACCACACCCAAGCCTAAAATCTTTCAATTATTTGGGCATGCCTACTATACTCGTGGGGCAGCAAAAAGAGATTCATTTACCCCATCACGCTAATGACTTGATTAAAAAATTTATCTTATCTTGAATCTTGGTAAAAAAAGACTCCTAGCTCCCAAAAACATGTTAGAATACCCAAACCTGCTTAACGATAAGACGAGACAGGATTCACACTCGTATCAAAGCAAAACACAGAGCAGCTGAAGGACCCTCAATTATTGGCCACAAAAGGTTGACAAGTAGTATTCCATGCTTCACAAATACTCGTATCAATAAGGTAACACTGGTAGTTACAGACAAGCATCGAACATCAAAGCACATCTCTCTCTCTCTCTCTCTCTCTCTCTCTCTCTCTCTCTCTCGAAGACAATACTGCAAAACAATTCAAAGGTCTAAGGATAAGTCTTCCTCTAAAGCTCGTGTTGGTAATGGGCTGCCTGGCTCTCCTAAAAAACAAAGGCCAAGGCCGCAAAATGTGGCCCCAAGGCCAGGCCACTATGGCCCAAGGAAAGTCCCAGATCTGGCCTTTGGCCTCATCATGGCGGAGCTAGGCTAGGGCTGCCCTGTAGGGATTAGTGTCGGGGGTAGCAAGACTGTTACCACCCCAATCTAAAGCCTATAGGCGAACAAACAAAAAAGGGAATTGTGGGAGTGTTTGGAAACACTTAACAGCCATATCAAAGCCATGATCTCGCCTTTTGTGGTGACAATCCTAAAAAGCTAGTCTTCCATCATGGACCCTCAAAGAGGCCCACTTTTTGGAATAAAAAAAGAAATGCATACAATACAGCCATTTACATAAGTCACCGTCATTATCAACCATTAGATGTGAAATCAGTTGGCTGCAATATCATTGACTAAGCACAAAATCCAAAATAAAATTCTTTCAACTACGTGACATATTTAAAGCTGCTGGATTTCACACCCCATGATAACAATGATTATGACCTACTAGTACCAAAAATGAATGATCAGCCGCTGGATTTCACACCCCATGATAACAATGATCATGACCTACTAGTAGCAAAAATGAATGATCAGCTGCTGGATTTCACACCCCATGATAACAATGATTATGACCTACTAATAGCAAAAATGAATGATCATACATTACACAAGACCAAAAAGTAAGTGCCAGTAATTGCTATGGAACATGCAAATCCAATGTCAACAAATGAAGTAAACATAGAATAATAGAAAACAACAGGCTCAAACATTTCCTATATAAGATTTCACACTACGTAAAACACATGGTAGTAAATATAGGGGACATTCGCAATTACCATGATATCATGCAGAAGTGGAAAAATGATCTCTTTATGTATTTAATTGCAATTGATTATAGTAAAGAAAAGGAAACTTTGAATCCGAAAACTTTTGAGGTATTACCGCATAGTCCATATTTTCTCCAACTTTATGCTGGGGCCTACTTTTTTATTTTTCATTCTAGTTTTGCCCCGAATTTTATGTTAATACCATTGAACCGCTTTTTTTTTTTGGGTTATCTCCAAGATTGTTTTACTTTTATCAAAATGCTACATATTTAGAATTTCTTTTTTTGATGTATGGAGTGGTTGTATTAGCAACTTCAAACCTACGTACTTCAAAAGAAAATAAAAAATAAAAACTTAGCATGGACTAGTTAAATAATATATCAAACCCCTTCATTATTGTAATTTTCCAAGTATGGAGCAGTTCGATATTAGCAAAATCAACCACTTATTACTTCTTTCTTTTTTTGGTTTAAATGCAATTATAGCAAAAAACAAATTTTTTAATTGTCTTTCTCAATCTACTGTGAAAACACCATGACCGGTAAGTTAACCTTTCTCCAAAAAAAAGAAAACAACATGTTTGGTTTCAATCCAGCAATTTAAAAATTAAAAAGAAAAAGGACAAAAGTGAGCAGCAGTTTAGTGATGCCAATGTCGAACAGCTCCAAACTTCTAAATGTTTAAGTATGGAACAATTCAAAATTAGCAACATCAAACCGCTCTACACTTAACTTTTTTTTTGTTAGTACAAAGCGGTTCAAAGTTGTTAATATTAGACCGCTCCATACATAAAGAATTTCCAAGTATGGAGCAGTTTGATTTCCTAATATAAAACCACCCTGGACATTACCAAAATTCAAAAAAATGAAAAAAACAAAAATGTTTGATGTTACTAACACTGAACCAGGGATGAAGCTCGAATAAAGAGAAACCAAAAAATAATACCCCAGCATTAAATTGGAAAAAACATGGACAACACAGTAATCCATAAATGTTTTCCAGTTGCACATAAATTTTTTAAAGAAAAAAGGAAAGACTGTCACTTGCAAGGTGTTTAACAAAACCTCTAAGGCATCCACAAAGGCCCAAAAGCATTTCAAAGCCTCAGAAAGCAACTCATGTAAATCCCATAACCATTCATACCATAATCAATTATCCAACTTCAATAGCACAGGCTGTGCTGCACAGCCCTGCTACCCCAAAACAACTGTGGAAAGACCATCAACCAACCACTTGTCTCAAAATCCATACAATGACAATAACCGTTAACAGCGAATTCCAATATGTATTTTATCATCAGATCAGCTAACAACAACCCACACCAAAATTTTACTGAAGGAAATGAAAAAGTACAACTCTTTCTCTCACTAAAAAATGAAAAATAAAAAAATAAAACGTGATTACATACCTTTGATCAGCTCTGAGGTGACGCCTTGGGGACAACTCCAGCTTGCACCGGGGGGGCCTGCGCTGCAGGAGCGGCATCAGAACCATACACTGGAGGCTGCGAATAGGCACCATACTGATCATTATAGGTTGGCGGGGCACCATAAGGTGCAGGCTGAGAAGCCACAGGAGCGCCATAGGATTGCTGCCCATAGCTAGGAGCTGATGGCGGTGGGCCACCATAACCGGGCTGAGTAGAGCCTACTTGAGGATTATAACCAGGCTGAATAGAGCCTGTTTGGGTGGTAGAGGCAGGCTGGCCAGTATAAAGAGGCTGCACAGGGGGCTTCTGCCCATAGTTTGTAGGAGGAACTGATGTAGGGCCGGCTTGCCCATAGCCAGCTTGGGGAGGAGGGTTCACATAAGGCTGAGAAGAAGGCGGTGCACCATAGCCAGTAGGACCTGCTTGGTTATAACCCACTGGTCCTGAAGCTTGCTGAGAGGAAGGGTTCTGAGGCCCATACGAGGAAGGAGGTGTGGGGCCAGCTTCATAGGGTGGAGGAGCACTATAGCTTTGTGTGTACCCTTGTTGAGGATTAGTTGGTTGCTGACCATAGCTCGGTTGAGTAGTGGTACTCGGCGCTTGATAGCTACCACCATAGCTTTGCTGGCCATAACCTTGAGCAACAGGTTGGTTGGGGTAACTGGGTTCTCCATATGATCCTTGCTGTGTATAGTTAGCAGGAGGAGGTTGCTGATTATAACCATAAGTGGTAGTGCTAGTACTGTTTGTATTATCCATCGAGCTTTGTTGGGTTCCTTGAGGTGGAGGTGCCTGTTGCTGTTGGCCATAGTAATCATAACTGGTGCCCTGTGGTGTTGGCTGAGAAGGAGCAGGGGGAGGTTGATCCCAACCAGAAGACGCTTGTTGAGGATAACCTGAGTAAGGGGGTTGAGGAAGGGTGCTATTAAACTGTGGTGCAGGTGGCGGTGTAGGATAAGCCCCTGTTTGTGGATAGCCATATCCAGGTTGTTGTGTTGGAGGTGGGCCAGGTGGGCCCCAGTTTGCTGGAGGGCGTGGGGGACGGTACCCTTGTTGAATATACCCTCCGCTCATTGGTGGGTTTCTGAGGCGGTTCTGTGAACAAAAAGTCTCGTTAGAAACCCAATAAACAATATTCAGCCAAAATACAAGCTTCAATAACTAAAAAAAGATACAACGGAAGAAATACCAACATGAATTATTTGATGTAAATCACATATGAATTATCAGACAAGCTAAGGAGCTAGACAGTAGACAATCAAATTCATAAAGGTTATGTTCACCATGGTAACAATAGAGTATACACCAATGCTGGTCAGTTTATCACCCAATAATAGGAGACCAACTTACCATAACGTGGAAGGTTTGAATTGTATGTCATACATGTGAGCCAGCAGGTCCCCCATCCTCCAACTGGGGTTTTGGAAGCATTGATTTGGAAAAGACAAACCAACAAACAGGAAATAGCATGTTTTCACTCCAAACCCAACTAGATCTATATTTCACACATACGTGATGGCTATTACTAAAGAAAATCATGTTACAAAGTCATGAAGCAGAAAGTGTCGTGATAGAGGTAATATAACGTGTATCAGTTTCCATTCAACTCATACATAGTAGCATTCTACAGATGTACAGAATTCAATGACTTAAACAGCCTAGGTAAAATAGAGAAGCAAATGAGCATCTATTAGTTGAACATGCATGGAAGCATCCTACGGATGTTTAGGATTCAGTAATTCAAAACGACATACTAGGTACGATATAGAAGCAAAGGAGTGCCTATTACTTGAGCCTTGATACCAAGCAAGGAAAATGTATTATGAGAAGGCTATCACTTGCTTTACAAATTTGTTTTCCTTACAGATTAATCACCAAGAAAACAATCATCAAACAGATGATGGTGAGAAGCGAAAGCAAACCATCAAAATGAGAAACAAGATGAAGGCGGTATTCACTCATCAGCTTCTGTAAAGTATTAGCCTGTTGGAAACTAGACAAGATGTGAATGGGTAGATGCATACAAAAATCCATTAATTTTCAAGAAAGACCAAAACAAGTCCTCAAAAGAAGTAGCACTTCTTCTCTTTTTTTAAAAGTGAACGCATGTACTTAAAATGACAAAGAACTCAAAGGCTTAACTGAAGCATATAATACAGATTACCCAAAAAAATAGACAAAATGATCATCTCACAAATATGATTTAAATAAGTTATCGAATAAAGAAAAAAAATCTCCATTTTCTATAAAACCAATTAAAAATAACAGATAAAATTTTTGAAAAATTACAGAAGACTCAAGCAAGGAATTCTTTTCCATTATTGGAATTCAGTCCAAAAACACTGCTTCATATACAATCTATGCTATTATTCTACGCATGGTTCATATATATGCGAGACACACCATGCTATGCCATGCTAAAACGAATACATTCTATGATATCTTCCCTATTTTTACTCTCTCATAATTTGAATTTAATGCATTACGAATTTTTAAAAAAACTCTAAGATAGAGGTAAATCACACCAAAATCTTATCAAAATAAAGTATCGTCTATTATATCTACATCATAGTAGTCATCCACTTCCTTGGCTCTTCCTGAGGAGCTTGCTCCCTTGACTACTCAGAGAGTAATCGGCATTACCACGGTCAATACTCAGGAAGTCAATGACTACACCATCGTCATTCCATGAGTACCCCTCAGCCACTCGAAACTGATACCTCATTATTCCACTCCAATTTATTGCATCTTTGATTAATTTTATCCCTTTTTACAATAACAAAGCATCTTAAAAGCTGACCCCAAATATTTGGAACAAGGCTCGGATGATAATGATGAAAGCATAATAAAATAAAACAAAAACTCTTTAACTTTAGTAAATGAATTTCTATTTAAAGTTTTAAAATTGACAAATATTTTTGGGCATGAGCGACGAGGGCTTGAAACCATGAACCTATTTAGATACTATAATGTGAGTTGTCATGAACCAAATCATCGTTCTAGACACTGAGAGCCTAAAATCATCTAAACTCAATTTGAAATCAAAGTCTACAAAAATAAAAACCAATTTAAAAGGTTCAAATGTTAATGAGATAGAGGACAAGACATGTTTTTACTTTGAACATAAGTAAAAATCAGTCTAAAGAGTATAAAGCAAAGGCTCTTAAAAGTTTATTGGGATAACATGATGAAGAGGAAAGTAAAAAATTTTGAGATTCTAATCCTAAAGCTCCTGGCAACCTATGATGCACAGATAAGAATAGAGACATGGACATGGGAAGCACAGATACAACTTGGCTTTCCTAAACCCAGGACATGGATAAGGGCATGGGTATCCTGTCTGGCATGTTGAAACCATAGGGATACAAAACCAAAGGAAACGAAAACATATCAGAATCTAACTTAGAAAAGCATCAATGTTTTCCTTTGAAAATGATACCAATACATTCAAAGGTTAAGACATTGTGTCACTCAAAGGGATGGGTGGGATTGTCAATATTCCAAATTTCATATAAAAATTTTAAAGCTACAAATTGGATAAATCACATCATGATAATTCTACAAAAAATATGGCCCAGCTAATAAGGAAAAAGAATGAAGAAGTAGGTTTTCCTCATCATGAAAAACGTATACCATAATATTATTGTACACGTTCATCCTTAATATTAGCTAGGTCATTTTGTAGAAAATAACTATTATAATTTTGTTTCACACCAAAGTGGGGACCCAAATCTTCATGAACTTCAGAAAGTAACAAGCAGGATACGGCGGAATTGCATCCCCAAAGTATTGTGTAGTAGCAACAATACTAAACCGTAACTACATTGGTATCTTGGACACACAGAGGGGTCCATGAATCATAGCCTACAATCTAGGGATGGAATGGTAGAGATAAACAAACCCTGTATCAAAAACACTGGATGATTATCTCTTATTTGTTTATTACCAAATCTATTTCCAAATCAATTCCTATACTACCAGACCGACCTTAAAATTATCCACTTTAAAAAGGAACCAAAGTAACCAAATATGAAATTGTCTGGTTAGAAAAGAACCAAATCAACCAAATTGTTTCTGAATCTTTTTTAGCAACAAACTCAGCAAATTTCCCAGCTCAGCTTTGCATGAAGACAGTTCCTCGCAAAAATGGCGCTCAGCTGAAGAGAAAAAGGGAAGGAATCGCATTGAATCTTGATTCTCGCGCTATTTGAACAATAATATCTTTTATCTATACTACATTTACATTCTCTACCCTTAGTTATGGGAAGTGCCTTCCACAAGGGATGGTCCAGCTCCAGACATAGAAACCCACACTTCTGAAGCCAGTATTACATGGGGTGTCAGAATTTAGTACATATCTAGGTGTCTAGTACGTGGGACCAAAAATCGAGTACTTCCCGACAAGTCCATACAAATACCACAGAATAAGATAATATATACTATAATTTCCTATAGTGGTGGAGCATTAAGAGGTAGGCATCACATTTTAGGAGCTAAGGAATTTTGAGTTCAAGCCTTATAGTAGTATTTTCTTTTGAAGAAAATAATGGTATCTGTAAATATAAGATAGTATCCCATGGTAACATAAAGCTACTTAGGTGGAGTGGTAGTGGTGGCCATCCATATTCAAGTGATCTAAGGCTCAAATCCTAGCCCCTAAAGCACTAATAATTGAAAATTACAAGTTATTGTATAAGACACTCGTGAAAGAAGTGTCAACATGGCACTACAAGCAAGTGATGCCACCCAACACGTACGGACAAGTGTCGAGCAGACGACACCAAAGAAGATAAAGTGTCAAGGTAAAACTGCCTAGATCTGATCCTCCTTGGGAACTCGCTTCTGATAATATGGGATCTTGATCCCATTTAGCATGCGATCATGATCCTTTGTCATTACATATATGAGTAGATCCTTCTTTTCTTATGTATAATTGATATATGATTAAATAAAATGTTAATTATAAAGATGCCTACAGTAACTAACTCACCATAACATAGTTATGTGTGCCTCTGTATTTGTAATATATATGTTGATTATATGCCTTATTCTTATAGGAGATCAGAGATATATCTCAAGGTTTCATGAACATCATCGAAATACTACATTGGCTTAAGGGTAATTTTAGATAACTTTCTCGTCATGGACCTACAATCTCAATTATTTTTGGTATGGGATGCGCAATATGGAATTTCTGTGTTATTTGCTTCTATAATATTGAAAGATAACTCACTTATTTTTTATTTTTTACAATTTCCCTTGTTTTATATGTTTGTATCATGTGTGTACTAATCTAAACTTAACCACCCTTCAAAATACAAAGGTTAAGATTAGAATGGGTTGTAAAAGGTGGATTCACTAAATATGTTGTTGCATACCAAGAAAATCGTTTTCTATAGGCAGCTTGGTCACTAAGTATGGGCACAATTGAATTATCATTAAAATATAAGGTATACTTTATCATCTTCATAAGGGTACAATTGACCATTTTAAAAAAGAAGGGTATTTGTACTAATAATGAATCGGAATACTTACTTATAAAATGTCATTGTACTTTTGGGAAAATGTCATTTAGTTACCTATAAAGCGTAACGTTTTACCAAGAGCAATGACTTTTAGGTAAATACATCCATCACAACGCACCTTAACATGAACACATTCTAACATAAGCACGCACCCGCACGCACTCGGTCACTAACTAGGGGCGCTCCCACTGAGATGGATAGGTAGGTATATACATAGTACATAATACCGATGTTCTAAGGGTGCTCCGACAGCACTCCCAACACACACACACTAAATAGGGATGCTCCTTGGAGATGGATTCCAAGGTACATATATAACATACATAACACACAATACCGATGTTCTAAGGGTGCTTCAACAGCGCTCCCAACAAGCGATCCAATGTTCTCCCAAGGTAGGAAACATTAGGCAGGGTATATGTCCCTACCCCCACTCCTGACGACTATGGTTCTGTCACGCTCATCACACCTTAACTGAACTTTGTAGAGTACTAACTCTTAAGAAGCAAAAGGTTTTCTATGAAAGTACAAGAAAACTCAAAACGTCCCTATAAATATTAAAAAATGTCAATAGTTATAAAATTAGGATTTCTATTAGAAAATAAATTCAGGACATCTATTGGAGATTTGACTTTACTACTTAAAGTCTCTCTCCCTCTCTCTCTCTCTCACACACACACACACAACCCCACACACACATACACAGACCCATGCATCACATGGATAGAGAACTAAAAGAACAAAAAGTTCAATTTTAATGTGTCATAAAAAGGCCATTTGTGTTAATACAAACAAATAATATCATTCTCAAAGGACTGACCTCCCTCAACATCCAGGTATCATCATGACCATCAAAAACCCCAGTACAGGGCATAACTCATAACTATATTCCTATAGGTCTCAATCAACAAGATAAGCCAGAATTGATGGAAGTTTCAATATACACCTCCAAGAAACCATACATGATCTCTCTACATACTCCTTATATAGCAAACATCAATGAAATCCACAATATACCATTTAGATTCCAAACATATGGCTCAATTCTAGATGCCAGAAAAGAAAGATTATTCAAATTACATTCTCATGAAAGCATAATAGAAAACGATGAAAAGAAAACCAGAAGGTTGATCCCAACAACTATGTCAGCACAGTATGCCCAAGGTAAATTGATATTGTTGATCTTGAAACAAGAGCAAGCTGTGGACCATAAAAGGCCTAGCAAGAATTCCATTAAGAAAAATTCTCCAGTCATCAATACAATTAACGGTTCAAAAGGCAATTTCAGACAATTTCTGAAAATACAGGGAACATCAGAAACCTTTCCCAACTAAAAAAGTCAGCCAGCTACTCAACCTGCCAGTATACACATCTTAATTCCCACATATATTCCTTCAAAAGACTTACAAGGCAACCAATAGTCAAGGTTGAGCAGCGTACCAGCGTCATGCCATGTGGAATTCTTAAGGTTCAGAATAACATGATCCGCCCAATTTGTTTAAACCGTGTGTATCGAAGATCTTACAACCTGTTGATATATTTGAGCAACACCATGCTCGAAAAAAAAAAAAAAAATACAAATTCTCAAAGCTCTCAAGTTATCAACAAGTTTTATCCTTCAGTCACTCGAATTAAGGGTGCAGCTAAAGTTCATCCAAATACAGGAGATCAGGAATACAAACGTCCTTCACATCAAAATATCATCTTGTGCATCAAGAGCCTCAATATTTTCACAAATAGAATAGAACCTGCTTACAAGAAGCTCAGATGCAACTATAGCAAGGCCAAAGAATCAGAGAATGGGTTATGGGATGATATACATCAATACAAAGTGTAACTCGGTTCCATTATTTGGAATAGATATAGCAATATATAATGCCGAACCAACCTCTATATCTACCACTTAATCCATCATTTGTGCAAGTCCAGAGAGATTACAGCATAAACCATGAATAAACAATGACAGCCACTGACATAAGCAGTTTAAGAAGATTACAGGCTCATTCACCCAGATATTACAACGGAGACATGTTGTGCAATAACGCATCCATGACACAACAGGTAGATAGTAGTAAGGCATTGATTCTGGCAGATGGTTACACGGGTCAAAAAATCAAAGGTCTCATAAAATTCACACAGGCAACTTATTCTAGGAGTTATGTGGCACAAACAAGTTAGTGCTCCTTCTTTCACAGAGCAATATAAAAATTGACAAAGAAGGGAAATATCATTAGTTTGAACAATGGCCTACCTGTTACCCCAAAATAAGGCCTCCACAAAAGACTATAGCAATCAACAGCTTTAACTACAATAACTAAAAACTAGACATGACATTGATTTTCCCCATGGTACAAAGCAGGACCAGTGAAGAACCAGTAATAAGAATAACAACCTTCCCGATGCTATTGAGGAAAAAAAAACCACAGATAGGTGTTCTATAAATGTTTGCCCAAACAGATTCTTGTTAATCCCACAAAACATCCTCTCTTGAGTCCAGCATGCATCACTAAGTTGTTAGTAAGAAGAAACAGTCCAATAAATCAGTACCTTAAACTTCTTAAGAGGATGGGGGTTCCATGAACCAGTCCTCCATTCTAAAAGTATTTTTGGCAGTCTTTTCTTAAAAGAAATTAATATATATGTATATATATATTTGGAGCCAATTTTTGAAAGTTAGTTTGAAATTTCAGAACTTTCAAGTAAACCAAACAATACCACAACGCAAACATAAGAAATCTAAACCATAAACAAAAACCTAATCAACAAGCCTTAGTAACTTAAAATCACAAAGATACATCATCAAAAGATGATAAGAGACCGTAATGTATTACTGATCACAAGTAACATACAATCAAACAATGCATAGAAAGTACTCAAATCATGTGACACAAAATGGAAAACTTCCTCATCCCAATTTTTAAACATGTCAATTGAGATAATACAGTTACAGATCACTTCAAGCAAATATAATCAATTCTTCACAGGAAGTACTTTGCACAAAAATCCAATGAGGAAAACAAAAGAAAGAAATCGCAAACTCAAAATATAAGAAGAAAGAAACTAAAATACAGTGAAAATGAAATTAAAAAAAATCATGAAAAATACAAACTAAACACTTTCAAGCAAGGACACTAAAATCTCAAGCCCAGAAACTGTAACATAAAGAAGGGCATAATAAGAAAAAGAAGATGAACATTCTAAAAACAAAATTTCTAACGTTCCCCCTCATGTTGATGCACACTTATCAGAAATAACCCATGCCCATGCTTTGTAAATTTTCATTGCCCAAGGCCACTAGAACCATGTCTTCAGATGCTTTTATCTTTATATGAGTATGAATCAAATCATCTTGACTCTAACAAAGTGGAAATCAACTCCTACATGCTATATCCGCTAGCAGAGCACTTGGTTTGCTGCGAGTGATAGCACAAACTAGTTGTTATACGCTGCTTTTTGCTACTTCTCAAGCACAAAACTAGGAAACCGAATCATTTTGGTGGGTGCCTTGGGTTCCCTAAGGGACAGAAGCTTTTAAGTAACAAACCAGTCACGCAACATCAAAGGGACAATGCAATTCCATAACCAAATAAAAAAAAAAAATCCCATGACCAAGGTTTTAAGAGCCCATAATTCCACATCCTTATAATGCACTATTATACATACACTTTAGGATTTCGTAAGACCTCCATGATTATGGCAATGCCTATGACCTTGAGTACCAAAAAGTTTGGCAGAAAAGCATATCTATTCTGTCAATTCTACATAAAATAATCAAGATGCAAATACAGCACAACAGCAGGATCATGCCACATGCATTGGCAGATTATGACAATCCACTCACTATAAAGGTCAGAAGGTGGACAAGCTTCCACAAAAAAAAAAAATCCACGCATGTAGCACCCTTTAAATATATTGATCACCCTTTAATAAATAGAAAGAAAAAACAGAGAAAATGTACATGAACAACACAAATACACAACCACACATTTTGCATCAATTATACACACCGAGTTGTATAGTTAACATCCATCATGAAACTAAGCAGTGTTCTACTGCATGAAGGAACCCAAAATGCCCCATACATCCTAGTTATAGTATGCTAGAGCTATATGCAGGAAATATGGATATAAATGCAATAGAAACTTGAAAAAACTATTTTCCACACACCTCACTGACTATGTCATTCACTAATTGCTTTGCCATTTCAATTTGTTCCTTGGTTCCATCAATCTGAACTGTCCTATCTGTTGATGCATCGCCAGGAGGGAGATGTAGAGGTATAAGCTGGAAAAAAAAAAAGAAATATCAAAACAGTGAACTTTTAGGAATTGCTAATCGACTTTGAGTAATTATGCTTGACTGTTAGATCAGATAGAAAGTTAAAACAACCACATGAAAATTTTCAAGACAGTTTAATAAAATAAGTCTATGAAAAACTCAACCATCAGTGACACTTCATACGAAGGGCAAGAGGCAATTTAAACATATCCAATGTATAAAAGTCCTTCACCCATCCACCTTCAGGATGCCAAGAGGAAGCCATATGTGGCAACCAAGGAACTACTTTCTACCTACCAAAATATCATGGGGAAAGCCAAAGGTTTAAGTGGAAATAGTAATGCAATACAACTTAATCTACGAGCACCAGCTCCAGTTCAAACAATCCTCAAAGTTCACAGTGACTATCACTGAATAATGAAGCTTCGAATACCAAACAAAAATGACAATGACAGTAAAGGAAATAAAAAAATAGAAAGTGGATGCAGAAAATAAAGGATTATGAAACAAGGTTCAAGCAATTTCTTTTGAAAAATTAGGACATTAACACAGAGCTACATCTGACAACAAGGTTAATATCAAGATGGTTTCTGAATTTCCTAGTAATCCTTGAAATATTAGCGGAACACCATAAAAAACACCCAGGATAATGGCTGAAAACTCTCATATAACTTGGAAAACAGCTGATTTATCAGAGAAAAGTAGACAGGAGACTAGCTAAGCAACGTTGAAAGGCACCTCAGATTTTGGGAAGACAATATGGTCAACATACATAGATTCAAAAAGCGGACCTCCCAGCTCCTAGGCTGTCCAGAAGGCTTGGGCGCATCGCCCAGGCCTAGGCGGCCAAACTGAGCGGTCTGTCCCTGGGTGGCCGCCGAGGCAAGTGCCCAGCGTCCAACCCTGGCCCAAGGCCTGCGCCCAGCCCAGAGGCAGAAAAAAAAACCGTGAGGGTATTTTGAGTCCCTTTTTTTTGTTTTTAAGCCCCAAAAAGTAGGGTTTTAGGTACATTTGAAACCTAAACCTTGTTTGAGCCAAATTTAGAGAGAGAAAACCATCAAAAAAACCAAAAAAACTAGATTGTGGTGAATTTTTTAAGACCGAAGGATCATTCAAAGTTAAGCAAAATTCATAAAAACATCACCCATCAGTATTATATTTACTTTTTGATGTTTTGCAAAGTTATTAGTGGGTGTTTTAGAAAATTTTGAGTATTTAGAAGCAACTTTGAGGTGGCAGTTTGAAGATTGAGCAATCAAACTCAAAGTAAGTGATTTTTTTTTATTGCTTTAGTAATTTGCATTATTTTTGAGATGTCTTTTTCGGGATCTCATAAGAGTGGTGATCCTGGTTGGAAATACGGCTATAACCCAGATCCTAACGATAAAAATTACATAAGATGCAAGTTTTGTGAAAAGGATACAAAAGGGGGCGTAAACCAGTTCAAGAAACATCTTGCCAATATCAATGTTGCCCCATGTAAAAAGACTACTGATGCTGTTAAAGAGGAAATAAAGAAATTTTTGGACATGGTGAAAATGAAAATAGATGAGAGAATTGCCGCTATAGCAGATATTAGGTCCGACGTTCGAGTCAATTATGATGATGATGATAGTGATGAAAAAAGGATTGGGAAGGGATGTCAAGAGGTTGAGCAATTCATTATTAGAGAAAAGGGGAAGGGAGTTGTAGTTGCTTTTGGTTCTGGGGCTAAGAAGCCTCGGGTTAGAGGTCCTATGGATAATTTTTTACCTCGGCCTGACCCCAAGGTTGCAAGAGAGAAACAAAAAAACAAACCACCATTGAAAATAGAATCAAGAACGAAGAGAGAGATAGAGTTGTGTATTATTTGGCTATATGGTTTTATGAGGCGGGCATTCCTTTCAATACCACTAGCTTGAGTGGCTTCTATGCTGCGATAGAGGCAGTTGGCCAATTTGGCCCTGGGATAAAACCGCCAACCCCATATGAGCTTTCAGAGCCTTTTTAAAAAAAGGCAGTGAATGCCACGAAGGAAGCTGTAAAACTTAAGAAGGATGCATGGGCTCCATATGGGGTTTCTATTATGACTGATGCTTGAAGTGATAGAAAGAGAAAAAGTCAGATGAATTTGCTTGTGAATTGTCCTGCAGGAACTGTTTTTTTTTGGGTCTATTGATGCCTCTGATCATATCCATGATGCCCATTACATGTCTCAAGTGATAGAGAAGGGAATCAAGGAGGTTAGGGAGCAGCTTGTTGTACAAGTTGTCATAGACAATGCTGCTCCTAATGTTGTTGCATCTAATTTGTTGCGCATAGCATATCCTAGAACCTTTTGGACACCATGTGCAACACATTATACAGACCTCATGCTTGAGGCTCTTAGCAGTTTAACCGAGATATCAGGTGCAGTGAAGAAGGCCAAGTATGTCACAAATTTCATTCATAGCCACCATCTCACCCTCAGCATGATGCGTACCTTTACAAATAAGAAAGAGATTGTGAGGCCTGGGGTCACGAGATTTGCGACCAGGTACTTATGCCTTGATAGCATACATTCGAAGAGAGTACAGTTGGGCAAATGTTTATCTCAGATGAGTGGAGAGCATGCAAATGGTCTAAGGATCAGGTTGGGAAGAAGGTAAGAGATATTATACTTTTGACGGGGTAAGGCCGTAAGGGTAATTTGTATAATTTTATAAATAATACATGAACCATAGATATTGGATTTTAATTAATTTCATTTGATTTTGTTAGCTTCATACAAAGAAAAGGAACAAGCTTGAATCAAAGAGGCTCAATGACCTAGCCTATGTCAAGTACAATCGATTCTTGAAGGACAGGTTTGCTAAGCGAGATAAGATAGACCCTATCAGATCAAAAAATATGGACCATGCTATGGAGTGGTAAGTTGATGATGATGAGGTCGAAGGGCATGAAGGATTGACATGGGACATGGTCATAGATTCTTAAGGGACATCAGCTGACCCTCCTAGGGCCACTAGATCTTCTGCACAGAGAACAAGGATGGAGGAAGAGGAGGAAGAAGAGGCTGATTCAAAAGGGACGGAGGAGGACAGGGACGACCAATATGTCGAGGAGAGTGACGACGTTGTCAACTCCGATGAATATGATGCCAATGCAGCTGACCCAAGATTTTCTTATGGTGAATGAATGATGATTGATGAATGTTGATTGTTGACTAATTATTAAACTTTGAAGTTTGAACTTTGATTGAAGTATTGTGTATTGATTATTGAACTATTGAAGATTCTTTGAGTCTTAAAATATTACTTTCATAGTTTGATAGTTTCATTTTCATAATTCAATTTTGTTTTTTTCCTCATGGTGGTCAAGTGGTGTATTGCAGTGCTGGTGTGATACTATTTGATAACTTGCTTTGATAATTTGGTTGGTTGGAAAATTTTAAGTTTTAATTGGATATGGAGCATGAACCGACTTATGGATTATGGTTATGGAGTGTGCTAAATGCTACATAATATGTGAGATAATTTGAATTACGTCAAAATGTAATTAATGCAGAATTGCAGAATGCCAGAATTCTTATTTGGATTCAACTAGGCCGCCCAGGTTCTGAGTGCCTGCCTAGGCGCTGGGCGGCCTGGACCCCCCAAGCTGCCCAATACCGGCCTAACGCTTTTTCAAACAATGTCAACATATTAGGCAGAGGGTTAAAAAATTCACCAAAATACACATTATGGGAGAAGGCTGTTAACCTGAATACGAGCTCCAGACTGACTTTGCATATTCTTAATTGTCTCACCACCTTTGCCTATGATCAAACCCACCTGAAGATGAGAACATATAATTCAGAACCTCTTCATTCATACCAAACCAGGAATTGCTTAATTGACAAATGATGATACATGCCTTGTTATTTGGAACTTTCAGTACAAATTGCTCACTTCCAGAATGAGCAGTACCAAACCTTCGAGCAAGTATGCCAGATCCCCCTGCTTCAGCCTGAAATAAAATAGCATGTTTTGAGAGGGAAAAAATAAAAATTGTGTAATCACAAATAGGAAGCTATTTATCAGAGAACCCTTGCAAATGGTGATTTAATACTGCACTCTTCTAATTTTTGTGCACATGTCATAAATGGTAGGAAGGGCACTTTCTAATTTCACCCATCCACCCAAAAAGTTCTCTTAAAAAAAAAAGATAAAAAAGCACATACCATTCGAAACTATTGGCTATTTAAAGAACTTATATTTTATAGTGCACAATCAAAGCTATAAGAACTCATGAGCTATTGATGTTACCAACACCATCATTTGAGTTGTTTGATTTTAAAAATATATTGATAATTCTCATTTTTTGTAGTTACATCAAATTGTTTTTACAAATATCGACATCTTGTACACAAGGATTACTAAATAGGTCCATATCTTCTAGCGGAGAGGCAATCTCAGAAAGCATCCCTCTTTGCCAATTTTGAGAAAAATATGGAAAAGTGCTCCTTAAATGTCCAATACTGATAAGTCATCAGTGTGCATCATAGAAACAAACAACTCTACCCACACACAAGTCATAAGTGCATATTATTAAAAAAAGCAACTGCCAATGGTTGTTCAAATAAAAAACCCCTAAATTAAATTATGTGATACACCCGATAATGACATTATAACAAGTCAAATGCAGAACTTAAAGAAAAGTATGTGAAATACCAAGTAACCAAATAAGTCAACACATACAAGAAATGAACTTTAGGAAGCAAGTGCCAACAAGTATAGGACGCGGAGAAACATACCTCAGCAAGGACATCATTGATCAACTGTTCAGCCTTGCTGATTTGCTCAGGAGTACCCAAGAGTTCTACAGGCCTTGTTTGAGATGTTGGGTCAGCATCCATGTCTCTTGTTACTTGAATTTTGGCACCAGACTGGAGTTGAAGATATTTGATTGTATCGCCACTCTTCCCAATGATAACACCAACCTGTACAACAACAGTCATATCGTAGAAGCAATAACTCCATCAACATGTGAAACACAAATTGCACAGCACAAACAGGTACTAGGTGAATACCCTGCCATTTGGTATTTCAATCTTTTTACTTGTTCCTTGAAAGCCATATGCACCTGGGTATGTTGAAGGTGGAAGCGCGTTACCCTGTGAATTGATCATATGCGAACCAGGAAGCTTTTGACCAAGGTCTAAAGAAATAAAAAATAAGAAAAAAAATTAAACTTCAAAACTATAAATGACAATAAATTGGTTACAAATAAATGATAAACTCTTAGAAAATCCAGCACATAACCACAACTAGAAGCATACAAATACAACAAAATATCAATATACAAACAGTAATGTTCTGCCTTTCACTGAGAAACTTATTGTGGAAAATAAATATAAGACGCTCACTCATATAATACCTATATGCAAGCCTGAATAGGATTGTGTTGTGTGTGTAAACGAATGGAGGAATGTAGAGTAGTTCATAAGAGTACTCCCCATTTATGTATTAGTAGCCAAAGAACAAAAGGAGTGGAGCAAAATGTACCCGAAGGTGTTGAAGACCTACATGAAGTTTGTATTGAAATGAAAGAGTGAAGTTTCATTACATTGTGTCGTATCTCTTTATCCTATTGATAGGATATAGAAACAGAGAGAGAAAGGGAGCGAGAGAATACTAAGAATGAGATGCAGAGAATAAGAGATTGAGAAAAGAGTGACAGGGGTTAAGTTCAGCAAATAGGTGTAGGATTGCAGGTTAGGTATGTAGGCAAAGAGAAATGCAGAAAAGAGGGGGAGAGAGAGAGAGAGAGAGAACAAAACGAGGGGAAAGAGAGCGAAGGGTAAGATGGAGATCAAAAAGAGAACTGACACCGGAGAGAGAGAGGCGTTACAGAGAGAGAGAGATAAGGGGGCCAAGTAATGAACTAATGATATATGAAGGCCGAACTAATGATATATGAAGACCGAGTGCTTCAGGAAAAAGCAACACACAGAAGAGAGAGAGAGAGGTTAACAAATAACTAATGAAGCAATGCTGCATAGAGAAAGAGAAATGCCACCGACAGAGAAGAGAGAGAGAGAGGGAGAGATAGCGCAATGGGTTACACAGAGCGAGAGATGGTGAAGCGAACTTACCAACCGAAGGCCGATATCCATCGGCACCCTTCTCAGTTCCATCATCAACTCGAACACGCTTAGCATCTGCATTCCCCACAAGCCTGGCCACTATCTCCTGCGCTTTCTGCTTCGCTATCTCGATCTCCTCTGGCACAACTCCACCTCCATTGCTATTACTCAAATCATAGGCAGGCTTCTCTCCTGAATCAGGAGGAGGAGAAGAAAAACCAGTCGGTCTTCGAGGACCAGCAGTTGTAGGGTCTTCAAACTTTCGCTTGTTCTCACTTCGAGAAGAGAACTGGAGCTCCTCCGCCATGGCTCCCAAACCCTAGCTCAAAAGCCGTAGCCCACTAACCTAAAGCCAGGAGAAATATGCTTCAGAAAACCTAGCCCGAGAAGTTCTTAGAAACCCCGGTTCTAATGCAATGCGGAGAAAACCCTAAATAGCGCTTTAACCAGTGTGACGAAGAATAGAGGGAAAGGCTTGACCTGTGCCTTTTGCTCTACCGCCCTTGTTTTGGGTTTGTGATTAATGGGAACGTTCGCCTTTCATACATTTTAAAGTGACACCGATTTTTGGTCCATATTTTTTTCGATATTTCAGTAAAGGAAGAAGTTTATATAGAGCCGAGGTTCTAAACAATCGCATTCGAACCTACCTCAAAAATTTCACTAGACGATATCCTTTTCCTACTTAAAAATCTTCAAATTTATCATCTCGACATCAAGATGCATAGACATAAAAAAAAATTTAGTTTTAAATATCTGAAATAACATATTTTGTAATACACCTTTTTACCGTCAATTTTCAATATTTTCAAATTTTCAGAGCTATGTCAATCTACACCATTTTTTAAGCTTTAAACTTTATAAATAAAGATAAAAATATATTTTAAGGCTATCACAAAGATTTTCAGTGTTGAAACTATTTTCTCAATATTATTTAAAGGTAGGCTCTAATTTGATTGTTTAGAGCCTAGGCTCTATACAAACTGCACCCCGTTAATGGATCGGATAACAATTTTTTCTTTATATTTTTTTTCTGGAGTGTTATATTTTTTGTTTTTTGTTTTTTTTGACAATATTGGAATTTCTTGAGTGTTATATCGAAATGGTTTTATGTTTAAAGTTAGACTCGGACCCGACCCAGACCCAGTTCGGGTCTAAGTCAATTAGACTCAAATTGGCTCTGGTTGGGACCGAGTATTTAAATAAATAAATATATATATATATATATATATATATATATATATATGAAATACTATACAACG